AGAGTTTTATTGTTTGGGGTTTTGCATTTGGGTCTATGATTTATTTTGAGCTGATTTTTTGGGAGAGTATACAGTTTATGTCTTGATTCACTATTTTTGAATATGAATGTTCAGTTGTTTCAGCAGTGTTTGTGGAAAATCTAATCTTTTATCCACTGTATTGTCTCTGTTCCTTTGTTAAAAGTCATGTGGATCTGTTTCTGATTTTTCTGTTCATTTTCATTGCTCCATCTGTCTAGTCTTCGGCCAATACCTCACTGTCTTGATTGCTGTAGCTTCAAATAAGTGTTTTTAACTCATGATAGAGTGCTGTTAATGCATGTGAGAGTGAGAATGAGAGAGAGAGAGAGAAATAAACACCCCGGGTCTGGTCATACCACAATCCCTTTTCTCCAGTCCTCTAATTTGTTGGATCTTGGACCTTATGTGTGTGTCTGACATGCTTTAGGTTAACCAAGGTGGTGACTCAAACTATGGTCACCGTGTGGGATCCAGCTTCTCTCTCTCTTTTTTTCTTAGTTTTGCTATAGAGTGTATACACTCACTGGAGAGAATCAGGGAGAGAGAGAAAAAGAAAGTGAGAAATCACCCTCAGGGAGATTGTTAGCCAAAATGTACAAAGACCTCTTAAAATTCAAAAATAAGGGGACCAGCATTAGTGTAATGGCTATGTTGCTGGACTCCCAGGTAGTCGACGGTGGTTCGAGTCCCAGATTTAAACTCACACCGGGGGCGTGTGTGTGCGTGCCCAAGATCCCAAGAGGAGAAGAGAGGAGAAGGGATTGTGGCGTGGCCATCCCCTCTGGGGGGTGATTTCTCACTTTCTGTCTCTCTGTCTCTCTCTGTCTTTCTGGCGAGCACACGCGCCCTATAGCAAAAACCTCTCCAAAAAAAAAAAAAATCAAAAATAAGAAAACAATTCAATTTAAAAATATGCCAAAGACCTGAACAAACACCTCACCAAGAACACATACAGGTGGCAATTATAAGCATGTGAAAAGACATTCCATATCAAATATCATCAGGGAAGTGAAATTAAAACAATAGTGAGATAACAGTACACATCTCCATTCTCCTCTCGGGATCTTGGGCACTCATGCACACGCACCCAGCGTGAGTTTTAAGCCACCGGGTCCAGGCCGTGAACCGCGGTCGGCTACATGGCAGTCCAGCAACATAGCCATTAGGCTAACTGCTGGTCTCAATAGTATGCACCTCTTAAAATGGCCAAGGGGCCAATAAGTGGAGTTGTGGTTAAGGCACTGGACTCCCACATGGCTGACCACAGCTCAAATCCTGGACCTGGAGGCTGGCCTTCTCACTTTCCCTCTTTCTCTCTGGTGAGTGCACATGACCTATGGCAAATTTTAAAAATAATAATAAATTAGTAGAGTCCGGCAGGTGTCATGGTAGTTAGGAGTGCTGGACTCCCACATGGCCGACCATGGTTTGAGTCCTAGACCTGGTAGTTTGTTTTCTCTCTCTCTCTCTCTGCTCCTTTCTGCTTAAATTAAATGAAATAAGTAAACAAACAAATAAAGTTAAATAAAGTAGTTCTTTAAAATAATAGTAATAATAATAAATTAGTAACTCTAAAAACAAAACAAAACAAAAAAATGGCCAAAATCCAGGGCACTGAAAACACCAAGGGCCAGCTAGTGGCATAGTGGTTAAGGTAGCTGTGCTGTGGTTTGTGTCCCCAACCCAGTAGCTTGAAAGAAAATGTTATACATGTGTGTATGATTGCCCAAAATTCCAAGAGGAGAATGGTAAAGGGACTCTAGCAAGGTCATGAGGAGGGGAGGGATTTCTCACTTTCCCTCTTTCTCTTTCTCTCTTTTTCTCTCTCTTTTTCTATCTGGCAAGCACATGCACCCTATGGCAAAATCTAAAAGAAAGAAAGAGAAAGAGGGAGAGAAAAGAGAAAGAGAGGGAGGAAGAGAAGGTAGGAGGAAGGAAGGAAGGAAGGAAGGAAGGAAGGAAGGAAGGAAGGAAGGAAGGAAGGAAACACCAAATGTTGGTAAGGAGATGGAAAAACAAGAACACTCATTCATTACAGGCTGGGAATGACAGACACTGCCAGACCGTTTGACATTTTCTCTAAAACTAAACAACATAATCCAGAAATCATGTTCCTTGGTATTTACCCCCAAAAACTGAAAACTTATGTCCACACTAAAACCTGGACATAGATATTTATAGCAACTTTGTCCATAATTGCCAAAACTTGGAAATAACCAAGATGATCTTCAGTAGGTAAATGAATAAACAAACAGTAGTTCATGGAGATATTCAGTGCTAAAAAGAAATGAGCTATCAAGCCATAAAAAGATATGACACAAACTTAAATACATATCACTAAGTGAAAGAAGCCAGTCTGAAAAGGCTACATACTGTATGATTCCAACTATATGACATTATGAAAAAGGCAAAACTATGGTAACAGTAGAGATTAGTAGTTGCCAGGGGTTAGGGCAATCTCTGCACCTTCTGCTCAAATGTGCTGAACCTAAGGTCTCCTAAAATTAGTATTTACTTCTAAGACATTTTACAAATCTGGCCTACCCAAACAGTCCATACCATAAACCATCCACACTCAGTCAAACTCACAATGAACACATATCAATTTCCCAATTCAGGACTTCATAAGAAGTTAATAGGACAAGTCCAGTTCAAATTCTGGCTCTATCACTTTTTTTAAAAAGGTACTTAACATGACTAATCTGTTCTCTTATCTGTAAAGAGGAACTCATAGAATTGTTGTATTAAATAAGATGTTACATGGGAGACTGAGATTAACACATAAATGTCCAGTAAATGCTCATTATTAATTTTATTTGCTCCTAATATATTGTCAGCCATAATGCTTCGTCACTATCTACCTCTTTAAAATCAGTCCATTCTTGGGACCAGCAGTTAGCGTAATGGCTATGTCGCTGGACTCCCACGTAGTCGACCGCGGTCTGTGTTCCGGACCAGTGGCTTAAAACTCACGCCGGGCATGTGTGCGTGCATGCCCAAGATACCGGGAGGAGAATGGAGGAGAAGGGATTGCGGCGTGGCCATCCCCCCTGGGGGACGATTTCTCACTTTCTGTCTTTCTCTGTCTGTCTGGAGAGCGCACGCACCCTATAGAAAAAACCTCTCAAAAAAAAAAAAAAAATCAGCCCATCCTTTTAGGTTTAGCTGATGTTTTATTTCCTTTATTCATGATTCCTCTGCCTCTTCCTAAGTTCTACAATTCTTCTCACCTATATTTTTTTATTAGAGCCTTAATCAGAGATTTTGCTTTGTATTATTCTATATCTCACTAGAGTTCCTGTCACTTCAAATAGAATCTCGGGCTTCTTACAGGCAGAAACTGTTTGCTTATATGACTGTTTTTCTCCAATTTCAGTCTATGTCAATACATTGATTAAATCTAGTTACTCTCATCAACTAAATCCCACCACATATTGTTTTACCCTAGCTAGGAGACACATTAAATAAGGGATCTCAGGCATGGCAGATGTTTTAGTCTGTTTCTGTTGCTATAACAAAATATCATAATCTGGATAGCTTATAAACCATAGAAAGTTATTTCTTACTATTCTGGAGGCTGGGGAGTCCAAGATCAAAGTGCTAGGAGATATGTGCCTGAGTAAATGGCACTTTTTCACTGCATCTTCCTATTGTGGATGGGGCTAGCTAATCTTCTGGGGTCTCTTTTATTAGGGCACTAATATCATTTGTTAGGGCAAAATCCTTACCTCCTAATGACTTCTCCAAAAGCCCTACATCTTAATACTATCACCTTGGGGGCTAAGCTTTTAACATATTTCTTTGGGGGGCCCAAAAACATTCAGAGCACAACAACAACTGTGAAGGAGATAACATGGGGCCACCTGGTGGCATGGTGGTTAAGGCAGCTGGCTTTGAGTCTCAGACCTGGCAGCTGGCTTTGAGTCTCAGACCTGGCAGCTTGAAAAAAAAAAAAAAAAAAAGCCCCGGGGGCCCACAGCCTCTGGGGCCAGCAGGTGGCGTGGTACTTAAGGGCACTGGACTCCCATGTGGCCGACAGAGGACTGAGTCTCAGATCTGGTGGCTTGTTTTCTCACTCTCTCTCTTTCTCTCTCTCGCCCTGTCTGCCTCTGGTTACACACACACACACACACACACACACACATATATAAAGTTAAATACAATAATTCTAAAAAAGAATTTTTTTAAAGAAAAAGAGAAACCAGCCACATGTGCATGCATGCCCAAAATTCTGAAAAGAAATAGAAAAGAAGGGATTGTTGCATGGCCATTTCTCTTGGGGGTTGCTTTCCCATGCTCTCATTTTCTTTCTCTCACTTTTTTTGTCTTTCTCTGGCAAATGCATACAGTCCCTAACAAAATTTTTTTTAAAAAGGAGATAATCTGGGGAACCAGCAGTTAGCGTAATGGCTATGTCGCTGGACTCCCACGTAGTTGACCGCGGTTTGCGTCCTGGACCCGGTGGCTTAAAACTCATGCCGGGCGCGTGTGCGTGCGTGCCCAAGATCCCAAGAGGAGAATGGAGGAGAAGGGATTGCGGCGTGACCATCCCCCCTGGGGGGTGATTTCTCGCTTTCTGTCTCTATGTCTCTATCTGTCTGGTGAGCGCACGCGCCCTGTAGCAAAAAAAAACCTCTCCAAAAAAAAAAAAAAGGAGATAATCTGGGCACGATTATAACATATCTCAAAATGAACCAAACAGAAAGTTAAACTATTTCAGAGATTTAAAAAAAATACATGTTATCTCATACCATTTGTTTAAGTGAATAGCTGATATAAAAATAGTTAATAACAGGCCAGCAGGTACCATTGCACTTAAGGTGCTGGACTCCCAAAAGGCTGACCACGATTCAAGTTCTGGACCTGGTGGCTTGAAAATTACTCTGGGCATGTGTATGTGTGTGCCCAAAGTCCCAGAAGAGAATGGAGGAGAAGGAATGTGGTGCGACCATCCCTCTGGTGGAGAAGTGATTTCTCACTTTCTCTCTGTCTTTCTTCATCAGGTATAAGTGTCCTATGGTGAAAACCTAAACAAAAAAAAACCAGAACAAGAAATCTGATCCATGGAATCCAATAAATTCTTATTTAGAACATATAACTATATCTATTAGATCAAATAATTACAAAAATAGTAATAGCCTATTAAACTATGCTAAGTAAATTGAACTTACTGGATTAAAAAATAACCAAAGCAATTATTACCTGTATACAAGCATCCTGACCCTTGATCGCAGCTATATGAGCTGCTGTCCAACCTCTTGTAGTTACTTTTGTGATATCAGCTCCATGCCACAGCAACCAATGAAGACACTAAATTAGAAATAAATAAATTAAATAAATAAAAAGTTAACAAGTGGTAAGGTAGATGCTTAAAACATTTTTTTATCTCTTATATTTATTCCATTATCAAGCTTTAGCCTGAAAAGTGAATGAGAGGAGCAGGTAGAAGAGGGTGGGTGAAGGAATAGAGGAAGATAAACTTTCCAGTATGGTGAACTGGACTGGTGAGAAATGTACACATGTTAGAATATTCACTTTGTAAGCTGGGTAGCATGATTGAATATATAAAAGAAATAGAAAGAAAAAGAAAAAAAAACCTAAAGTATAGCATAATGATATGCAACCCAAATTTGGTGTCATTGTTGGGTAAATAATAGAAAGTAGTGGAAACTGTGGCAAGTTCGAAATAAAACACCTTGTCTGTAAGATACAGTGTCTACTCAATTACATCCAGGCATTTCTATGAATAAAAGGCTGATTCAAGGCCAGCCCATGGTGTGATGGTTAAGATGGCCTACATAACCAAGTGTGCAGTATGAAGCCAGCACCTGGCAATTTGTACACATGTACACCAGGTGCACATGTGTATATGTGTGTCCCAAATCCCAAAAGAGGTGGGAGAGGGGGAATAATGGAGGAGGAGGGATTCCAACATGACCATTCCTCATAGGGAGTGCTTTCTCTGGCGAGCACATGCAAATTGAAAAAAAAAAAAAAAAAAAAAAAAAAAAAAAGACTGATCCAATGTTGGTAAATATTCTATCTGATCAATACTGTACACATCAAACAAAACATATCTGTGAGTCAGTTTCATTCAAGGGCTGCCAGTTTGCAATCTCTACCCTAGATCTTTAAATGGGTCCAGAAGTTTTTATGTCAGAGCAAACATTCTTATTCTGATGATACTCTCTAAAAAATAAGTGGTTATTAAAAACAAACAAAAAAGCCAATATATAATAAAAAAGGAGTCAAATGTGTTAAGTTTTAATTAGCTTATGTCTCATTATATACTGTACCTGGAAGTCTGTACCATATCTGATGTTACTGTCTCTTTATGTCCGAGTTTGTAGCGTTTACCTCCAAGAAGTCTTTATCTTTTTTAAAAGAATTAACTGTATCATGGGGATAAACAGTCACAACAGTCATAGTCACACTATTTGTTAAAAGGTGTTTCATTGGGTCTGTCCCATGGCCTGTGGTCAAGGAAACTGGATCATACATGGCCTACTGTGGTTTGAATATAGCCCTAGTAGCTTGAAAAACACACCCAGGAGCTTGAAAAACCCACTGAGCACATAGGTGAGAGTGTCCTAAATCTTGATGAGATGGAAAAATACAGGAGAAGATATTTTGTTTGACCATGTTACATTCGGAGGTGCTTTGTCCCTCTCTCTGTCTCTAGCAAGCGCAAGTTCCCTCTGGCAAATAAAATTTTGAAAAAATTTTAATTTTATTTAAAAAATATTTTGGGGGACTGCAGGCTGTGTGGTGGTTGGGGCAATGGATTCCAACATGGCCAACTGTGGGTTGTCTTGGACTCAGAAGCTTGCTTTCTCACTTTCCCTCCCCCGCTCTCTCTGTCTCTCTCTGGTCAAATCTTAAAAAATAACAATAATAAATAAGATTAAATATTTATTTACATATAAATAAATACATATTGGGGGTGGAGCCAGCAGCTGGCATGGTGGTTAAGCTGCTGGCCTCACACATGGCTGACCGCAGTTCAAGGTCCAGACCTGCTGACTTGCTTTCTCAATTTCCCTCTCTCTTTCTCTCTCTCTGGTGAGCACACAAGCCCTATAACAAACTTTAAAAACAATCATAAATAGAATAAAATAAAAAAATAATTTTAAAATGTGTTTAAAAATATTTGGGGGCTAGCAGGTAGTATAGTGGTAAAGACACTAGACTCCCACATGGCCAATCATAGTTTGAATTGCAGATCTGGCGATAAAGATCATGCTGGGTGTGTGCATGGGTGTCCAAAATCCCAGAAGAAGAATGAAAGAAAAAGGATTGCTGCATCACCACTTCCCCAAGGGAATGATTTCTCATTTTCTCTCTATCTTTCTCCATGTCTCCAATGAGAACACATGCCCTATTACCAAAAATCTCTCTAAAAAAATTAATAATAACAATAATAAATAAAGTTAATTATTTTAAAAGGAAAAAAGTGAAATAAATGGTATATCAAGACATCCTATTAGAATATGGTAAGGTAAAATCAGTATTTTCCCCTTTCTCTCCATTTAAAATCACCTAAAAACAAAACAAACAGAAAATCCTAATTTTGATGAAACAAGGGAATACCTGCAGCCCAAACCACATAACAGGTGTAAAAGTTGCCAATGTGCAGATCAAACAGGGACGTGGGAAGAAACAGCAAAGAGAGCACCCACTTAGGGCTACAAACTCACAAAGAACCACCAATGCTCATTTATCCCAAGTAATAAGGAGAAAGGCCACCAAAAGTCCAAAGAAAAAAAATCCCTTGTTTAGAACAGTTCAAGTGAGGTTCAAAAACTGATAGAGATTCTTAGGACCAGATTTGCTTACAAGAAGCAGAGAAGTCCAAATGAAGAAATCACACAGAACAGACACAGTCATATGAAATAGTCTGTGTGCATGTGGCAGGGGTGAAAAAGAGAGGCTGTTCTGTAAACAGACCTACCATAGGCTGGGAAATATAGTAGCTAAAACAAACACCATACCCAAGATCATGAGAAAAAGTCCAGTTGTCTTTACACACAGTTCAAAAATAAAAAGACTTACATAAAAATATTCACTGAGCATTGCTTATATTAAAAATTAAAACTAAACATGGGGGCCAGAAGGTAGCGTGGCAGTTTAAGAGCACTGGATACCCACATGACTGACTGTGGTTGAGTCCTAGACCTCATGGCTTACTTTTTCACTTTCCCTTTCTCTCTCTCTCTCTGTCTCTGTCTGATCCAGTTTTAAAATAACAAATGGTACTAAATAATTAATTGTTTTTAAAAAATTAAAACTAAATATCAAAGAATAGAAAATGGATAGATGGGGACAGCAGGTGGCATGATGATTAAGGTACTGGACTCCCATATAGCCAGCTGACTATGGTTCAAGTCCTGGACCGGACATCTTGTTTTTTTTACTTTCTCTCTCTCTCTCTCTCTCTCTCTCTCTCTCTCTCTCTCTCCCCCGATGAGTGCCATGTGTACTATAGCAAATTAAGATATAATAATAATAAATTAATTTAATTAAATTAATAATTCATTAAGATAAAAATATAAAAGAAAAATAGGTAGGAGCCTGGGGCCAGCAGTTGGCATGAAGGTTAAAGCAGCTGGATCCCATATGGCCAACGGCACAGTTCAAGTCTCAAACTGGGTGGCTTGAAAACACACTTGGTACATGTGTGTGTGTGCCCAAAAATCTCAGAGAGAGAGTAGAGGAAAGGAATAACGGTAGGGCCATCCCCTTGGGGGATAATTTCTCACTTTCCCTTTGTCCCTCTCTCTTTTTGGTGATCCCACATACTATATTGAGAATTAAAAAAAAAAAAAAAAAAAAGGCAGGGGCTAGCCGGAGGTTAAGGTATATGGCTCTCACATAGACAACTGCATGGTTAAAGTCCCGGATCCAGCGGCTTGAAAACATACTGGGTGAGTAGATATGTATGCCCAAAAAAACGCCAAGAAGAGAATGGAGGAGAAGGGATTGCGGCATGGCCATCCCCCCAGGGGGTGATTGGGAAAGATTTCTTACTTTCTCTCTCCCTCTCTGTCTCTCTGGAGGGTGCATGTATTCTATAGCAAAATTTTTAAAAACAGGATAAATTCTGTTATCAGCATACGAACAGAATATTACAAGGTTGAAAGAAAAGAATTAGCGTATGTATATATGTGACCACATGGTTATCATTTAAAGACATATCATTGAACAAAAAAAAAGTTGCAGAATTATAACACAATGTGATGTTATTTATATAAAGTATAATACGACTGTGATGGGGCATGAACTAGCTGATGTGCAGGGACCTCTCAAAAAGACACACAGAAAAGTAATTAAGGTACCCAGTTCATGGCCAGCTTCAACCACCAAAGTAAGCAAAGCTTTTGTAACATTCTAGCCCTAGCTTTCAAATCTTCCAGCCGAAGCCCCAGACATCATGGAGCAGAGTCAAGATGGCCCTGGGATCGAAATTCTTGGTTCACTTATGAGCATAAATAAATGGTTATTTTATGACACTAAGTTTGGGGGTAATTTGTTAAAAGCCCTAGTATAGTAGAACACTCAAATGTTAAACTGAATTGAAAAGAATAAAATAGTTGCGGTATTTAGCGTAAGATCTTAGCCAGTTCCTTAAATGTACAAAACCGTCACAGTTGTAAACCTACTTCAATTTATTGATAGCTTCTTACCTCCAAACTTCCAGAATGTGCTGCCCAATGTAAAGGGGTAAATTTATGGAGAACATCCACTTCGTTAATGCTGGCTCCACGTTCCACTATTTCTGAAAGCTGCTTTACATCTCCAGCTCGTACTGCATCATGTATGCTGCCAAAATGTACCTTCTTCCTGGCACCTATTAAAAAAAAAATTGTGCTGTTTAAAAATAGACTATAGAACTGTGAGGGGAAACAAAAGACTAAAGCAGTGATTCAAAAGAAAGCACAAAATCATTTTGGTTTTCCAGATAATCCACTACAAAGCTGTTTGTGATTGACATCTTTGACCAGTTTCAGTTTCAGCTTTGATATGTCAAAGAGCATGGAGGCTGACATGCCTGTCCTTACAGAAAAATAGCTAAATAAACCGAGAGTCAATGTTCTTGGAATCATCAGAGAACTGAGGTCTCAGGGTAATCTCTCAGCTCAAATTTGGAGAGAAGGACAAATACAGATAAATAGAGAGTTCAGTTTACCTGGAGCAGACAAAGTTCCTGCAGCCATAAGTTGGTTGAAACTCTCAGCATAGTCTATGCACCCTCATAACTCGGTTCTGTGTAAATTTTCTGGCCTTTTTTCATAGCCATCCATCCCAACTCATTCATTCATCCACACACCCATCCACACACTCTACATTAATTTGGTATCTATCATAAGGATAAAAAGATAAAGATATAGTCTCTCTCTTCAAAGAACTCACAGATTAGCAGAGACAGTACAAATGTTTAAAATAATACACTAGGCCAGCAGGGTGGCAGGCTAGGTACAGGGACTGCATCCCACAGGGCTAACTGTACAGTTCACATTTTGGACCCAGTGGCTTGAAAAACATTCCAGGTGTGTGTGTGTTTATACATGCCCAAAATTCCAAAGGAGGGTGGAGAGGAAGGGATTGTTGAGTAGCCATCCCCTGGGGAAGTTTTCTTACTTTCTCTCTCTACTTCTTCCTCTCTGTCTTTCTCCAACAAGCACATGTGCCCTACAGCAAAAAATTGAAAGTATTTGAAATATTATTAATAATAATAACTAATAATTTGAAATATTATTATTATCATGGTCAGAGCAATGACAGAAATATCTATGAGAATTTATGGAAGCACAGATGGCTATTTTTAAAGAATTACCTGATTTGGGAACCAGCAGTTAGCGTAATGGCTATGTCGCTGGACTCCCACGTAGTCGACCACAGTTCACGTCCCAGACCCGGGGGCTTAAAACTCACACTGGGCGCGTGTGCGTACGTGCCCAAGATCCCGAGAGGAGAATGGAGGAGAAGGGATTGCGGCATGACCATCCCCCCTGGGGAGTGATTTCTCGCTTTCTGTCTCTATGTCTCTGTCTGTCTGGCGAGCGCATGCGCCCTACAGTGAAAATCTCTCAAAAAAAAAAAAAAAATACAATTACCTGATTTCATTTATTATTATTATTTTTTTTAAATTTGCTATTGAGCACGTGTGCTCACCAGAGAGAGAGAGAGAAAGAGAGAGAGAGAAAAAGTGAGAGCAAGTCACCAGGTTCATGACCCGAACCTCAGTTACCCAGGTGGGAGTCCAGCGTCTTAACTGCACCACCACCTGCTGGCCCGCACATATGACTTAAAATTCAGCTAGTGTAGGAAGAAAGGAGCACAGAAAAGGATTTTGGAGAAAGCAACATCTATATGATCTTCAAGGATTAGAGGAGTTTGCCAGGTAAGGTTAAAGCAGCACAAGGCATTGTAGGCAGCATGAAAAGTGGGCTGTCGTCAGGAAACCACACACACAAAATCCTGCTGCTAAAGCATAATGTATAAGAAGTGGCAAAAAGTGGACAAATGACAGACTATGGGGAAACTTGTAAAGAAAAAATCTTGGACTTGAGCACAGTGAAGAATCATTGATGAAAATTTTTAACAAAAATTATAATGATCATATCTGTAATGCTGAGTAGATGGCTGGGTACAATGAAGGGAACTTACTGACTGGGAAGCAAAAAGGCAAGACTAGAGAGTCAGGAAAACCATGCAAAAAAAAACCCAGCTACAATATTCTACACAGAAAGGTTGAGAGCCTCAACTAAGATAGAAGCTGTTGGAGCAGGAAAGGAGGCAGACTCAACAACATAGAATGAGCTGAACTTGAATAGATATAATGGGTAAGAAAAGAGTAAAAGAATAACTCCAAGGTGCCTGCCTTAGTCACCTGAGTGTTGTGGTGCCATTAATTGAGACAGCAAACGTTGAAGGAAGGAGAGGATGTGAGAATGCAAAATTACATCTTGGATATGCTGATGTTGAGGTGCCCAAGGAAGATTTACGGAAGAAAGATATAAGTCTGAAGTTCAGAAGAGAGATATGGAATTCAAGTCTGTGTTACCAGTGTATCAGTATTACAAACTTTCTGACCCCATCTTCACCCTATATTCTTATCACACTCATCACACCAGTCATGGTGTGTTTGTTTGCTCAGTATTTATCTTCCCCACTAAAAAGCAAGAAAGATGCCTTTCTTCTTTACTGGTATTTTCTTAGTAAGACATAGCAGGCACTCAACAAAAATTTCCTCGATGACTGAACAACAGATTTGGGGGTCCTTGGTAGGACTGAAGTTGTTACATGATAAGAAAAAGAGGACCCACAAAGGCACCATGAAGGGGAAAAAAAAGCAACATGCAAGAAGAGGATGGAAGAAGTCAGAAAGAAAAAAAATGGAGAATAAATAAAGTAGAAAAAAAAGGAAACATGGTGTCACAGTTTTCATTTATGTTGGAAACTTAATCCCCAAAGGGACTGTGTTGGAGGGGTCCCCCTTTTTGAGAAATTAGGTCGTGAGGCATTCCATGTTGTCATAGGCCTAGGTTGTTGAGAGACAGCTTATTATAGGTAGGCATTATTATTATTTGGCTGGGCGGTTAAGGACTCTGGATTCCCACATGGCTGACAGGGTTCGAGTCCCAAACCTGGTGGCTTGCTTTCTCACATTCCCTCTCTCCCCCCTTCACTCTGTTCCTCCCTGGTAAAATTAAAATACATCCATATATATATATATATGTGGATAAAGTTAAATAAAATATTTCTTAGAAAAAAAAAAAAAGAAAGAAAAGAAAGTTTAGCCCCCTCTTGCTCTCAGACTCTGTTGTCCTTGTAACTTTCGCTGTGGGATGGCACAGCATAAACGCCTTCACCAAATGCCAGTAGATGCCAGTGCCATAGCCCCTTGCACTTCCCATTCTCTAAAACCATGAGCCAAAAAAATCTTTTCTTTGCACATTACCCAGTCTGTGGCATTCCATTAAAGCAACACAAATATGTACTGGGAACCAGCACTTAGCGTAATGGCTATGTCGCTGGACTCCCACGTAGTCGACCACGCGTGTGCATGCGTGCCCAAGATCCCCAGAGGGGAATGGAGGAGAAAGGACTGCGGTGTGACCATCCCCCCTGGGGGGGTGATTTCTCGCTTTCTGTCTCTATGTCTCTCTCTGTCTGTCCGTGGGCGCCCTATAGCGAAAACCTCCCCAAAAGAAAAAAAAAACGGACTAAGACGTTGGGTAGCTCTAGGTTATCATCTCCACAGGGTCAAATGCTGCAGAGAGAGTCCCTAAGATTTACAAGATGGACATCGGTCTGGGCAAGAAGTCTCAGAAAAATAGTGTAGGTAGAAAGAAAGAGAGGGAAGCTGAAATGGAAGTGAATTGTTTGGAGGCCCACTGAAATAGGTAGAGAGGAGGAGTGACGGCCAAAAAGGGAAATACCAGAAAGGACGGAGGCTGAGGAGGGTGCAGTGAGAAAAGCCTAGCGGCAGACAGGGTCAGCCACTGCGACTCACACGAGCTGGCGGTCTCGCCTGAGGACGCAGAGGGGCCTGAGCTGGCCACCCCGGGCATGGTGCCACCCCTCGGACTCGCGGGAGGAGTCGAATCCAGGCCTCTGCTGCTGCCGAAAAAAAACGCCCCCGCGCGCCGCTGCAGCTGCAGCTGCAGCAGCCCTCCTCGTCGTCGCTGGGACGCGGGACGCGGCCCTCCCTGGCTCTCTCCAGGGAGCCCCGGCAGCGGGGACGTTCGTCTTCGCTTTCTCTCTCCCAGAACCCACCGAGGCGGCGGCCGGTGTCCTCGCTGGCGCTCACCCCGGAGGAGTCGCTGGCAGCGTAGCCGCGGTCCTCACTCACTGCCTCCCAAGAACTATTGAGGCTGTGACCGCCATCGACACTGCCTCCCTCCCAAGAGCCACTGAGGCGGCGGCTGCGGTCGTCACTGACTCTCTCCGCGGAGTCGCTGGTTCTGGGGCCCCGAACTTCACTGACCCCCTCCCAAGTACTACTGAGGCAGGGCCCGAGGTCTTCTCGGACTGTCGCCCCAGAGTCGCTAGTTTGGTGGCCGCCGACTTCACTTAAATCCACGTCGCTGGCGGACAAGGCCCAGGCGCTCCTTCC